CCTCTCAGTGGCAGTCAGCCATGGACGTAGAGATGGCTTCCTGGAAGTCCACAGGCACCTACGTCGACGAGGTTCCCCCACCTGGGGCGAACATCGTCAGTGGCATGTGGATTTTCAGGGTGAAGCGGCCGCCGGGTTCTCCGCCTGTCTTCAAGGCGCGTTACGTGGCTCGAGGCTTCAGTCAGCGGCAGGGAGTTGACTACTTCCACACGTTCTCTCCCACCCCGAAGATGACCACTCTTCGGGTGTTGCTGCACATAGCCGCTTAGCGCGACTACGAGCTTCACTCTCTTGACTTCAGCACAGCTTTCCTGCTGGGCGGCCTGCACGAGGAGATCTGGCTGCGCCGCCCACCTGGCTTCACTGGGTCGTTTCCCCCTGGTACCCAGTGGAGCCTCCGGCGGCCAGTCTACTGTCTCCACCAGGCACCGCGTGAGTGGCAGGACACACTGAGGACTACACTTGCGGCTCTTGGGTTTGCTCCTTCTACAGCCGACCCGTCGCTGTTTCTGCGCACCGACACCTCTTTGCCGCCGTTCAACATCCTGGTGTACGTCGATAACTTGGTCTTTGCCACTGCTGACACTGCTGGACTCGCCCACGTGAAGTCCGAGCTGCAGAAGAGACACACGTGCAAAGACTTGGGTGAACTGCGCAGCTACCTTGGCTTGTAGATCACCCGGGAAAGAGCACAGCGCACCATTACCCTGACTCAGTCACACATGGTGCAGCAGGTCCTTCAGCGCTTCGGCTTCACGTACTCCTCACCTCAGGCCACTCCTCTGTCTACTCGCCACTCGCTCTCAGCTCTGCCTTCGGATGAGTCCGTAGAGCCGAGTGGCCCGTACCCACAACTTGTTGGCTGCCTCATGTACCTGATGACCTGCACACGACCTGACCTTGCATACCCTCTTAGCATCTTGGCACGCTATGTTGCTCCTGGGAGACACCGACCAGAGCACATGGCTGCAGCGAAGAGGGTGTTGCGCTACGTGTGCAGTACGTCGGGCATGGGGCTAGTCCTTGGAGGGCGACGTCGAGTGGTCCTCAGAGGTCACGTTGACGCTTCTTGGGCTGACGACCAGGCTCTGCAGCGGTCGTCACAGGGTTACACCTTCAGCCTTGGCTCCGGCTCTGTTTCGTGGCGGTCTACCCGCTCGTCCTCTGTTCTCAGCTCCAGTTGTGAGGCTGAGATCTACGCAGGGGCCATGGCTGCACAGGAGCTACGCTGGCTCACCTACCTGCTGACTAGCCTAGGAGAGCCGCCTTGTTCTCCTCCAGTTCTGTACGTAGACAACAAGGCCATGTTGGCCTTGTGTCGGGAGCAGAGACTCGAGCACAGAACGAAGTACATTGCTCTCCGCTGCTTCTTGGCTCGTGACCTGCAGCAGCGTGGTCAGCTCTGCCTCACCTACGTGGCCTCTGAGGCGAACACTGCTGATATCTTCACGAAGGCCCTTCCGCCTTGTGATCATCAGCGCTTCTGTACTTTGCTAGGTCGTGTGTCTACCTGGCCTCACTTGCTCACTTCTTGATCTTGTTTGTACTGTACTCTTTCTATACCTGCACTTGCTTGTTTACCTTTATATATATATATGATCTTGCATGTGAACTGGCCTTGTGGCCTTGCTCTTGTGCTCGGACTGTGTGGTGACTTTGTGATCCACCCTGAGCTTGCTTTGCTTCGCTTGACTGGTCTTGTGACCACTTGTTCTCCCCTTCTTTGCCTATGGGGGTGTGTCAGAACATTATAGCTTATACATCTGTGTAGGCTGTAGTGGGTTAGCTCATAAGGGGTACAACCCAATTAGGGTTAGTACTTGTACCCAACTGTTTCATAGTTCATTTTTTTTCTCTCGTTCTAAACTTGCAGGGGTATGTCGTCCAGGTATACTATGACGCACTTATCTAAGACCGGGCGGAAAGCTTCGTTCATGGTCATTTGAAAAGTGGCGGGGGCGTTGGTCAGTCCAAAGGGCATGACGGTGTATGCGAAGGATCAGTAGCGTGTGCGAAATGCGGTCTTAGGGCGGTCGGGCGGATTGACGCGAATCTGGCGGTAACCCCCTCGGAGGTCGATTTTCGAGAAATCCCGGGCTGTGCGCAGTTAGTCGATCAGTTCGTCGGCTCGCGGGATGGGGTAACGGGATTTGATGGTAACCCTGTTCAGTGCTCTGTAATCTATGCACATGCGAAATCCCCCGTCTTTTTTCGGTGTGAACAGTATCGGTGCTGCGAACGGCGACGAACTAGGGCGAATGAATTCCTTCTCGAGCAGGTAATCGAGCTGCTTCCTCAGTTCGTCCAGTTCGGGCTGGGTCAGTCGGAAGTGTCGCTGTACTGTTGGCTGTGCCCCCGGTTCTAACCCGATCCTGTGGTCGTGCGGTCGCTGAGGTGGCAGTCCCGTCGGTAAATCATCCGGGAAAATGGCGCTGTACTGCTTCAACAGTGCTGCCAGATCACTCGGTACGTCGGCCAGCAGTTTCTGTAAATCCTCTCCTTTGTCTGCTGCCTCGGCTTCTCGAATGTCGACCGCGTACACGTCAGCTTCTGCCGCTACGGCGCGTTTCATCGCGATCGGGTTGACACGCACCGACGAAGACTCAGGCGAGCCCCAGCGAGGTAAGGCGATGTTGTTACCGTTCACTCGCACGGTGCAGTCACCTGTCGTCCAGTCGATTCGCGGTTTGTGTCGTCGCAACCAATCACGTTCGAGTAAAATATCGGTTCTGTCGAGGGTCGTTGCGAGCATTTCCTGGCTAAACGTGAAGTTACCCCGACATCGAATCCGAACCCGGTCTACGCGTTCCCGTATCGCCAGCGGTGTGCCATCTACTAGTCGTGCGTCGACCTCAGGTAAACATCTGTCCAGTGGTAGTCGCAGTTTTCGTGCTGTAGAGGTGTTGATGAGGCTGTGGCTGGCTCCCCCGTCTACGAAGATTTTCCCACTAAGCAGTATGGGGCCGTCTACCGTAGTCCCCTCCTTATTCGGCCGAGTGTGGTCGATTGTGTGAACCGGCACAATCACTCGGTGAGGGCCGGTTGGGTCGGGCGAGCGGCGTGACCTGTCAGTAGAGGGCCCGTGTGCTACTGACTCCCAGCGTTTCTTCGCTGCTTGGTCTGTTTCTGCTGCTCAGCTTCCCCCTTCCCCTTAGCGTTTTCCGGGCATTCGCTCTTGCGATGTCCCGACCGATTGCACGCAAAGCGGCGCCCTTTGAACGGTGCGGCAGCGGCATTTGCGGCGACGGCACGTATCGTGGTGCCCTCATTCGTCCCACGAGGCCGATGTCCCCAATGGCTACTTCCGTAGGACCCCGGTCTCGGTCGGCGGAAGAAATCAAGTTTCTCCGCTATGGCGAGAATTTCTTGAAAGTCGGTGACGCCGCGGAGCTGGATTTCCTGAGTGATGTCCTGCTTCAGGCCGCCGATGTAGCGGTCGATGCGCTCGCTCTCGTGCATATATCCCACCTGCTCGCATAGCGCCAGAAATCCGCTCGTGTAATCTTGGACAGAACCGAGTTGGCGCCAAGTGCGGAGCTTCTGTCGCGCCGCGATCGAAGCCGCGATTGGCTCGAAACGAGCGCGTAGACCTGCGCACCACGCGTCCCACGTGCGATACTGGGGCACCTCCACGAAATACGACGGCGCCCAGGGTCCGGTTTGTCCTTCCCGTGTCGGTAGATTCGCGTAGTCCACCGGCTTCGTGACGATGACGCGCCACCAGTCCATGGCGGGTCCATGAAGCAACGACACGGCGTAGCGAATCTTCGCCGTGTCCTCCGAGACGTAGTTCGCGTCGAAGAAGACGTTCAACGTGAAGAGCCACGCCTGAATGGTAGGACCACCCCGCTGACTTGGGTCAAAGCATGGCGGACACTGCGGCTTTAGCGGCATCGGGGACGGAAGAGTTGATTCGCCGGCCGGCACTGAAATCGTGACTCGAGGTTGAGTCCTGGCCGCATTCGTCGCGTCGGGGTGTGTCGTGTATTGGTCGTCGTCTCCGTCATGGCGGACGACGCCATCACTTGCGGCGCTCGCGGGTTGCCCCACACTTCCGTGCTGTGATGTCTGTGGTGCGGGCTGAATCGGAGTGCCAGGTGCTTGGGATTGTGCCCGTGTGAGGTCGTTTTGCAGGGACGAGCGTTCTGCCGTCAGCGTCGCGATTTCCTCGGCGCTCTCGCGGATTTGTCGCAACAGATCGTTCAAGTGCTCCTGCGTGAGAGGCGTGACGTCGATATGTTCAGCCATTTCGAAGGGCGTCGGCTCGTCTTAGTCTAGGCGCAGTCGTGGCTGCACGCGTTTACGAGAGAACGCGAGGACAGCGGCTCCTAGGTGCTAAGGTAAGTGAGTCCCTTCGAGTGAAAAATCAAAAGTTGATTTCCTGGGGTGCGGGGATGCGCGGTCTGAAAGAAAGGGGCTCTGAATACGAAGTGTTACGGGTGCAATGAATCGAAGTAGCGAGAATTGCACTAAGGTGTCAAACGAGTACAAAATATGAGCGAAGGCATGAGCGAACATTTATATGCGAAACATGCAAACGGTAACGCGGTGCGTGCGAGCTAGCTAGTGCTACGCTGGAGCGAGGCTCGGGCTAGTCCCGAAGCGTAGGCCGTTTCGGCCAGGCCAGAAGTGCGGGGTTTGGTGAAACAGTGCCCACGAAGTCGGCGAACCCCCGTTAGCAGTAACGGGTGAACAACGGCTGTTGCTGTACGCGATGTAGTCGGGCTCCGTAGTCGGGCTCCGTAAGGAATGCCGAGAAAATTCCTTACACGCACCCTAACGGGCGAACAACACCACCTTCTGTACGCGGTGTTGTCGAGAAAATTCCTTAGATTAGAAGACACAACCAGCCAATTTCAACCGAAGAAACTATCGCACCAGCCTGACCTCTATCTCCACCTCTGTTCCTCTGATCTGTTTTCTGATCATAATCCCAAGGCGATGAGTCTAATCGGCGCGCTTCACGCAGTCAGTCATCCTATGCGCTCGCGATCGCACTAATGGAGCCAACCCGCGTGCCGGCGGAGCGCGTGGACAACATCTTCTTCAAGAAGCTCGGCGTCGAATTCCGCCTCGCGTCGGCCAAGGACGTGCAGGATGCGAGCCGGCGCGACGATGGACGGCCAGGATCCGACGGCGAGGATGATAACGGCGGGTTCGGAGGGGACGGGCTGTCGCTGCCTCCCGGCGGGTCTCGCCTGGCCGTTTCCAACAAGTTCGGCGTCTCCGTGCTCGCCAGCGCTTGCGGTACTTGCGGCGCACCCGCTGCTCCCTCGCCTCGCACAGCTATCCGCATCTAATGATTGTTTTTATGTCGACTGTGAATCATTCCCCATGCCGTTCATGAAAAGTATTTGTCATGTTGATTGTATCTCCTCGCTTCCATCCCTCCTTGCAGCTCCCATTTTCTCACCTTCCCATCCCTCACCACCGCATCCCGCCCCGCCGATTCGGCTTCGAGCGTTGGTCGTCGCAGGCTTCTACGCGGCGCACACGCGCGATCTGCTCGTCGTCGCCATGGGCTACAAACGCCGCGCCGAGGCGGGCGACACATTCCTCGACGCGCCGCTCTATGCCGGCGCTACAGCCGTGCGGCGATACCGCCAGGACGGCATCACGGCTGTAGCGCTGGCGGCGGACGAGCTCACGCTGGCGGTTGTAGCGGGCGCGCGCGTCGCGCTCTACAGCCTGCCGGCGCTGGTCGCGCCGTCTCCTGTGCTCAAAACAGACGAGGAGGTGAGACCGCGAGTGGGGTATGCGCCGCTCTGGCGGCTGTAGCGCCGGCAGCAGCGCTGAAGCCCTCTCCTGCCTCCCACCCCCTCCCCACTTCACCTTCCCCCTTCCCTCCTAAAACCCCTTCCCTCCCCCCCTTTCCCCTTCCCCCGCACATCCAGGCGCTGGTGGCGGAGGGGGCGGCGTGCAAGGCGGCGGAGGCGAGCGGCGCAGCAGCGCGCATGGAGAGCCCCCCCGCGCCCCTGCACACTGTACACGTCGCGGAGGCCCTGCAGGCCGCGGGGCGGGGCGGAGAGGGGGAGGAGGGCGCGCGCTTGGCGGAGTGGGGGTGGAACCCGGAGGTGGCGGGGAGCTTTATGATGCGCACGGAGGGGGGGATGGTGCTGGCAGGGCGCGTGGGGCAGGCGGGACTCAAGCTCGTTGCTGATGGCGCAGCTGCTGGTATGCATTCCGCTGCTGCTCTCTGCTTTGTTTGTAGGCTTTCTAGGTAATCTCTTGTGCACCTGCATGTGGTGCTGTGAGGTGCTGTGCGGTGCTGTGAGCTGCCTGAGTGCCTTGCCTCCGTGCTTTTTGATTGACAGAGCCTCTCTCCCTTCCACCCGTCACCCCCTCCCCACCCTTTTTCCCATCACGCCTCCCTCAGCCGCGTGGAGCCCCTGTGGCATGTTCCTTCTGGCAGTGTGCTCCCCTGTGACGTGCCGGGTACCTGAGTGCATTGACCCCTTGCTCTTGTCCCACACCTCCCTCCCCCCCCTCTCCCCCCCCCACCATCGCAGCCGCGTGGAGCCCGTGTGGCATGTTCCTGGCGGTGTGCTCCGCCTCAGCGCGTCTCACCTTCCACTCCGACCTGCTGCTGCCGCTCTTCTCGCTCTCCCTTGATCTTCCCCCCTTGGGCGATTGCCCCACATCGGGTGAGTGTGCCCCTAACCCCACCACGCGTGAGTGAGAGCACCCCTAGCCCCACCACGGTTGAGTGAGAGCACCCCTAGCCCCACCACGGTTGAGTGAGAGCACCCCTAGCCCCACCACGGTTGAGTGAGAGCACCCCTAGCCCCACCACGGTTGAGTGAGAGCACCCCTAGCCCCACCACGGTTGAGTGAGAGCACCCCTAGCCCCACCACGGTTGAGTGAGAGCACCCCTAGCCCCACCACGGTTGAGTGAGAGCACCCCTAGCCCCACCACGGTTGAGTGAGAGCACCCCTAGCCCCACCACGGTTGAGTGAGAGCACCCCTAGCCCCACCACGGTTGAGTGAGAGCACCCCTAGCCCCGCCACGGTTGAGTGAGAGCACCCCTAACCCCGCCTACTTGTGTGTTCCGCCTCAGCGCGTCTCACCTTCCACTCCCACTGCTGCTGCTCTTCTCCCTCTCGCGCGACCTGTCCCCTCTGGGTGGCTGCCCCACCTCGGGTGGGTGCACCTTCGCATGCCCATCCCATGTGCTGATTTCTTCTCTCTCGCTGCGCTGCTGCTAGTCCTTCCTCGTTGCACAGTGACTTGGGTGTGCGTTGCCCTGCACATGCCTGCCTCCTCCCGCCATAATGCTTGCTTGCTTGCACTGCCCTGCCTCCTACGCCTTCATGCCATGCCGTGTGCTCTGCGTGTGTGCCCTCCATGTGTGCTGCGCTGCGCGTGTGTGCTCGCTGCACGTGCTGCTCTGCCTGCCTGCATCCATCAGTGACTTCGGTGCGCTGGGCGGCGCCCAACGCGCTGCCACTGTCACTGCTTATGTGATGACTTTGTTTCTTGCACTGCGTGTGTGCTCTCTGCACGTGTTGCTCTGTGGCCCTGCCTGCATCCATCAGTGACATCGGTGCGGTGGGTAGCACCCAACGCGCTGCTGGTGGAGGGGGAGGCGGAGGATGAGGACTTTGGGGAGCCCACGCGCTCGCTCTTCTGCCTCTCCTCATTACACGGCAACCTGCACGAGGTATGCTCTCTGCTGCACGGCAACCTGCACGAGGTATGCTCTCTGCTGCACGGCAACCTGCACGAGGTATGCTCTCTGCTGCACGGCAACCTGCACGAGGTATGCTCTCTGCTGCACGGCAACCTGCACGAGGTATGCTCTCTGCTGCACGGCAACTTGCACGAGGTATGCTCTCTGCTGCACGGCAACCTGCACGAGGTATGCTCTCTGCTGCATGGCAACCTGCACGAGGTATGCTCTCTGCTGCACGGCAACCTGCATGAGGTATGCTCTCTGCTGCACGGCAACCTGCATGAGGTGCGCCCTGCCCTCTGCACAGTGTGCCAAGACCGCTGCATCTTTCCACTCCTTCCCTCGCCCTGCTGCTTGAAGCATGTTCCTTCTGTGCTGGCCCATCACCCCGCGCTCTCACCCCTTACCTCCCGTGCTGGCTCCACCCACCCCACCCCACCCACCCCGCCTGTGTGGGCCGGGCAGGAGGCGAGCAGCAAGCAGGTGCGCCAGCTGGAGGGGGCGTTTGCCGGCGTGGAGGACGTGCCAGGTGGCGGCATGCTATTGGCCACGCTGCAGCAGTGGTGCGTGCCGTGCCTCTCCTCCTCAACAGCCCACTGTTGCATTGCATGCCCTCCGTCCCCTTGCGCATGCCCTCCGTCCCCTTGCGCATGCCCTCCGTCCCCTTGCGCATGCCCTCCGTCCCCTTGCGCAAGCCCTCCGTCCCCTTGCGCATGCATGTGTCTTTCAACAGCAACCCATTGACCCATCCATGACATGGTTGTGCGCATGGGCATGTTATGGCTGGCTGCGCTCAACATGCCCTCATGGCCCCCACCACTCCCCCTCACCCGCCCTCTCTCTGCTTGTGTGTACCTGTGCTCATGCGCGTGCCCGTGCTCGTGTGTGTGCGTGCTCTCATGCATCTGTGTGTGCGTGCTCTCATGCATCTGTGTGTGTGTGCTCTCATGCATCTGTGTGTGTGTGCTCTCATGCATCTGTGTGTGTGTGCTCTCATGCATCTGTGTGTGCGTGCTCTCATGCATCTGTGTGTGTGTGCTCTCATGCATCTGCGTGTGTGTGCACATGAGCATGAGGAGCAGGCAGGTGGCGGTGGCGGTATGTCAGCGCAGCAGGGACTACCATGTCAACGTGCTCGGATGGTTCCCCGCACCTTCCTCCTCTGCTGCGAGCAAGGAGGAGGAGGAGGAGCAGGAGGGCGGGGGGTGGGGCAACGCGCGGGTGTGTGAGATTGCCAACGATCGATGGCTGGCGTGCATTCAGAAGCAGGGTGAGGGGATGGGTGAAGGGGTTGTGCATAGAAGGGGAGATGAGAACGGGGGGATGGGAACGGGGGGATGAGAACGGGGGGATGACGGCCACATGGCCGGCATGGCAGCGTACCTCTTAAACCCTTCATCTCATCTCACCCCACTGCCCTATAGAATATTCAATATGGTGACGACAACCAGGTGGTGGGGGCAGGGCGGCAGGGAGCCCATGGATGGACACGCCCTTCACCTCATGTGCATCCTGCCCTCTACTTCCCGCCCTTCACCCCCTCGACGCCCCTCACCACAGAGAGCGGCGACGACAACCAGGTGGTGGGGGCAGCAATGGACGTGTGCTCTGCATGGGCCACAGTGAGCCCCATGGACCCTCGGGACGACGACACCCACATGGTGGTTGTGGTGGAATGGAAGGCATGCGAATCGAATACTCCACCCTTCATTTTCCCCTCAGACTCCTCGCTCTCTCCTTGCTTGCCCGCACCTGTGTTCTCCCAGAGAGCGGGGACGACAACCAGGTGGTGGGGGCAGCAATGGATTTGTGCTCAGCATGGGCCGCAGTGAGCCCAATGGACCCTCGGGACGACGACACGCCTCTGCCCGCCATGCCCCTGCTGCTCGCTGTCACGCTCGACTGCTGCTTCTACGCCTTCTCCCTCACGCGGTAGGCAGGCACTCTCCCTCTCCCTTGTTCGGTACGCTCCCTTTCTCGCCAAAACGCTCTCCCTCGTGCCGCTCAGGACTCAACGCGCTGCTGCGTGTATTCGCCCGCAACTTCTCCTCTGTGCCTTGCCCATGCTGCTATGCCCCTAGCATTGAAGCGTAACTCGTGCCTTACAACCCCCTTGCTCTGCTCTCCACTCCCTTCACCCCCGGTCCCCCACCTGGAGCCCTTCCCCTTTGACTCCTGTTCGGCCTCTCCATCCACCTAACCTCCTTCCACAATCTCTAATCCCCAACCGCCCTTCCCCTGCCCATCTGCTCCCTTTACCCCTCCCCTTCTCCCCCACGGCAGTCTCGACAAGCTAGAAGGCCCGTCCCTCGTCCACCCCCCTCTCCCCCTCCCGCCTCCCCTCGCCTCCCTCCCCCTGCACGCGCCCCCATCGCCCCCCACCGCCTCCCTCCAGAGCCACGCCTCTAGCCCCCCCGCCACTCCCCCCCCTACCTCCCGCCCCACACTCCCCCCTTCCCGCCTCCAGCCGGGGGTTGTGGCAGCCCAGGGGGGTGGGAAGAGGGAGGGGGAGGACGAGGATGAGGACACGGCTAGCAGCCCGTCTCCGCCGCCCGGTGATGCAGCTGGGGAAGGCGTGGGGGGAGCGGGGGGAGCGGGGGGGGTGGGGCAGGGGGCGGCAGCAGTGAAGGTGTCCCCCACAGGGGGAGCAGCAGCGTCCTCTCTCAAGCCAGGCGCCCCACAGCCCTTTCTGCAGCGCCTCATGCATCCCTCCCCCGCCGCTGCTGCCCCAGCTGCCGCTGCTGCCCCAGCTGCCGCTGTGGCCGCCTCTGCTGCTGCTGCTGCTGCTGCCTCTGCTGCCGCCCCTTCGTTCTCCCCACCTTCCTCCTCCCCTTCTCCTTTCTCCTCTGCATTCCCTGCCTTTGGTTCTGCCCCTGCCTTTGGTTCGGCCCCGGCCTTTGGTTCAGGTTCGGCCCCTGCCTTTGGCTCTGGTTCGGCCCCTGCCTTTGGCTCTGCCCCTGCCTTTGGTTCTGCTCCTGCCTTTGGCTCTGCCCCTGCCTTTGGTTCTGCTCCTGCCTTTGGCGCTGCCTCCCCCTTCGGCACTGCCTCTTCTCCCTTTGCCCCCAAGTCCCCAACCCCAGCCTCCCCCTTCACCATGCCATCTGCAAAGCCTGCCGAACCTCCCACTGCTGCTGCTCCCTCTGCAGCCGCTGCAGCCTCTCCCCCCGCGTCCTCCCCATTCCCCCTCGCCCCTGCGCCCTCCTCCACTCTCTTCGCCCCCTTCTCCCGCCCCCCTGACTCCTCCAAGCCCCTCTCCCCCTTCCCCTTCCCCTCCTCCACCTCCAAACCTGCCTCCCCCTTCCCCTTCCCCGCTGCCCCTGCTGCTAAAGATTCCCCCCCAGCTGCCCCTTCCGCCTTCCCCCCATTCGCGTCCCCCACCTCCGCATCCCCCTTTCCCCCCCCCGCCTCCTCCTCCTCGCCGTTCGGCCCGTTCGGCTCTAAAAACGCTCCTCTGCAGGGCCTTCCTTTTAACGCATCTGCTGCTGCTGCTGCCCCTGCTGCTGCCACTCGTGCTGGTAGTGCTGGTTCTGCTGCTGGTGCTGCTGCTGTGGCGGCAGCAGCAGGAGCGGCAGCAGCAGGGTCTCTGGCTGACAGGCGCCTGCCTGCTAAAGGAGCGTTTGTGGTGGGGAAGACAGGGAGGGAGGCAGAGGAGGAGGAAGAGGAAGAGGAGGGAGAATACGAGGAAGGGGAGGAGGAGTATGAGGGGGAGGAAGGAGAGGAAGAGTATGAGGAAGGGGAGGAGGAGCAGGGGTATGAGGAGGAAGAGGGGGAGGAGTATGAGGAGTATGAGGAGGAGGAAGAAGGGGAGGTGTATGAACCAGAAGAGGCAGCGCGGCCAGCGATTTCCAAGCCAGAAGCAGTCTTCCCACACCCCTCCACACTCCTCCCCACCGCTCTCTCCCCCGACCAGCGCCGCTCGTTGCTCCCCAAACGCTCTCCCGCGCAATCCTCCCACCCAGCAGCAGCGGCAGCAGGCGGGGTGATAGAGGCGCTGATAGCAGCCATGGGGGAGATGAGGGGGATGAGCGCGGAGGTGCAGGGGGCTGTGGAGGGGGGGGCGCTGGGGGAGCGGTTGAAGGAGGTGGAGGGGCGCGTGAGGGAGATGGGGGGTGCTGTGAAAGGGTTTAAGAGCGGTGTGGAGGAGTTGAGAGGGGTGGTGGAGGAGCTGAGGGATGGGAATTTGATGGGTGAGTGGGAAGGGAAGATTGGGAGGAAGGGATGCAGGCAGAGAGTGGGGGTGCTGGGGCAGAGGGGGTGTTGGAAGGAATGGAGGGTTGTCTGGTGCAAAGGGAGAGGGACTAAGGGAGAGGGACTAAGGGAGAGGGACTAAGGGAGAAAGTAAAGTGGTTTTGCTCTTCATTTGCATTGTGTGCTCCTTCCCACTGGCCCCTTGCTCTCCCTCATATCATACCAGGGCATGCATTCCAGTCCTACCTGTTCCTCCGACTCTGCCCCCCATCCTCCCCCCCCTTTCCACCAGTGGAGGACAGGGTGGTGCGCGCGTCCCACTGGGTGCGCCTGCTCGCCTCCCCCTCACTCGCCTCGCTGCATGCCGACCAGCCTCTGCGTCCTCTCATCCCGTGTTCCTTCCTCAAGTCCGTCACCCCTTCTCCCCCTCCCCATTCCTTCCAAACCAGCGGAGGACAGGGTGGTGTGGGCGTCCCACAGGGTGCGCCTGCTGGCCTCTCTCTCACTCGCCTCGCTGCACGCACACCAGCCGCTCACTGTGTCCCGCTCTGTTTCTCCCCTCTTCCTCACCAGCGGAGGACAGGGTGGTGCGGGCGTCCCACTGGGTGCGCCTGCTCTCCACCCCCTCCCTCGCCTCGCTGCATGCTGACCAGCCACTGCCGCCATCGCTGGAGCAGCAGCGCCAACGCGTGCTCACTCTTAGACAGGTGGGTGGGAAGAGGGCAGGTAGTGAGGGCTCACCCCACGCCCTGCAATGGGTGCGCCTGCTCGCGTCCCCCTCACTCGCATCGCTGCATGCCGACCAGCCGCTGCCGCCATCTCTGCAGCGGCAGCGCCGACGCCTACTCACTCTCAGCTCAGACAGGTGGGAGCAGCGCTGGCAGAGAGGGCTCACGCTGTGTCAGGTGGGCATGAATGCGTTGCTTGGTTGACGTGAGTGATCTCTCCCCTTTTCCCTCCCTCCCAGCTGCATCACCCGCTCCCACTGCTCTGCGCCTCGTTTTCCCTCTGGCCTTCCTCTGTTCTCTCGCCCTTCTCTTCCTCCCATCCCTCCCCCATCGTCTAATCAACTCATACTTATTGTTCTGCGCCTCCACCCTCCTCTCCTGTTTCTCCCCCCCCCTTCCGCCCCCAACCCCCCTCTCTCCGAATCCCCCAGGAGGTGCTGGTGCGCCTGGCAGAGCTGCAACAGCCAGTCAACTCTTCATTCTCCCTGCCCCCCCCACCACCCCCCCCGTCCCCCCTCCAGGAGGTGCGGGTACGACTGGCAGAGCTGCAGCAGATGGCGCAGGAGGAGGAGGCACGGCGCCGGCAGGAGCAGAGGGAGCGGGAGCGACAGGAGAGAGAGCAGAGGGCCAGGGCTAGTCGGAGGGCGCACGGGGGAGTGTGGCAGGGGCAAGGTGTGGGGTACGGTGGGGGGTACGGGGCTGAGGAGGAGTTTTCATCGCTCACCGATCGGTTTGGTGGGCTCAACATGGCCGCTGCTGCTGGTCGCCACGGGTGCGTTGGCATTGACTCTCTGAACCCAGAACCCCAAACCCCAGTCCTTGCACCCAACCGAACCACTATTCTGATACTCGGCATCTTGGCTCGCACACCCCTGGGCCACTTCAGTGCCTCTTTCCCTGCGCCCCTACGGTTGCTGCTGTTCCTCCTCCAGTCCACTCCATCTCCGCATCACCTCTTCATCCAACTCTCATGCCGTCTTCCGTTCCTCCTGTTCTTTATTCTCTTCCTCTTCCCCTTCCTCATGACTATCCTTCCCCTAATCTTTCCTCCCTCCAATCATCACCCTCCCTTCCCCTCTGCCCCTTCCCTGCAACTCCTCTGCAGCACTTCCCCGGTCTCCCCCTGGCCGCCCCTAGCGGCAACAGTGAACGCGCAGCTGGCAGTGGCCTCCCACCTGCTCCACCAGGCCGCCCTCCTGCGCTCCCGCCTCGCCCTCCCCCCGCTCCCCTCCCCTCCCCGCACCCGCCGCCGCGCCTCCCCCCGCGCCTCCCCCGGTTCCTCCCCCCACACACACCTTCCTGGCCTTCTGGATGACACTGAAGGGCAGGGAACGGGTGGGGGGCGGGGAGGGGAGAGAGAGAAGCGCAAGGGCGGGTATGGGGGGGTGGGGATGCGGGGGAAAACGGGATCCGTGACAGCAGCAGCGATTCTTGAGTCTCTGGAGGATGGGGGGGGAGGGGGAGGTGGATGGGGAGGGGGAAGGGGCGTGTGGGGAGGGGAGGGCAGGGAGGGGGAGGGGGGCGGCAAGAGGCGGGCGTCTGGGAGGATAGGGCTGAGTGCAGGGGACCTGGAGGTGGGGGGAGAGGAGGAGGGGGACAAGGACGAGAATGCGGTGGGGGAGAGGAAGGGGAAGAGGGCAGATGCAAAGGATTGGGGGGTGGAGAGTGTTGGAGAGCGGTTGCGGAGTGGGGGAGGGAGGGAGTGGGAGCGGGTGGAGGAGGAGGAAGGGCGGGGTAGGGGAGGGAGGGGAGAGGGAGGTGCGATGGGGACTCCCAGGCGCAGCATGGGTGCCACAAGGAAGGTGGGTGAGGGGGGATGATGGGGGAATGGTGGGAGGAGCGTGGGGCTTGTTATGGTGGGATGGAAGGGAGGTGAAGGGTGTGGAAGCAGGGGAAGTGCAGTGCTCTGCTGCTGCTGTCGCCTCGCTGCCAACCTGCTCACAGCAATTGCAGTGCATCCCCTCCCACGTGTGCTCTTCTTTGCTGCTCTAACACATCCCCACCTGCTTTTCTCTAAGACCAGCTGCATTAGCACTTCTCCAGCACACACTGCCACACAACCTCTCATGACTGCCCACTCCCTCTCATCCCTCTCCCCTTCCCCACCCTCCCCCTGCCCCAGGCTCTCCCACTGCATCTCCTCTCGTCGCCCTCCCGCTCCTCCCCCACTCCAAAGCGCCCCCTCCCGGGCCTCTCCTCTTTGGGCGGCCATGCCCCCCTCCCTTCAGGTATGTGCCAGCCTGCTCTGCTCTGCTCTTTCTGCTGCTGATGCGGTTGCTGCCTCTCTGCTGCTGCCTTGCCGTCACGCTGCCTTGCTTTTTTCCCTTCAACCCTTCTTGTGCACCATTTGCTGCCATGAATCCAAGGCCCTTCTCATACACTCAGATAACCGGGCTGCAGCATTGGCGACTTGCTGTCATACCACACTGAGGACCCACGTCATATCACAAGCTCATGCATCCATGCACGGCTGCTTTAACCCTGCCACACCAGCCAACCCTTCTCCCTCTCTCGCCTGCATTCCCTATGCCTCCCTTCTCCCCGCCTCCCCCGTCCAGGCCGTGCGGAAGCACCCGCAGCAACAGCAGGAGCAGAACCAGCACGAGCGGCTGCCACGCGCTCACCTGCAGCACCCAGAATGAAGCTGAGGCCGAAAGCCAGAGCTAACAGGGATATAGAGACACACACACCAGCTGCAGCTCCATCCAAGCCCATCTCCCCCACCCTATCTGCTTCTGCGTCTGCCTCTCTCTCCCCTCCCGCTCGCTCTCCCTCCCCACCTGCCCGCACCGCATCCCCTGCCCCTGCCGGCACCTCCCGCTCCCGCTCCCCTTCCCCCACCCCCGCTGCTGTCTCCTCTCCCTCCCCCTTCCCGCCTGCCTCGACTGCTGCAACTGCCGCTGCAGCTGGGAAGAAGCCAGCAGCAACAGCAGCAGGCGTGGCAAGGGGGGCAGGAGGAGCAGGAGGGGCAAGTGCTGCTGGTGCTGGCAGTGTGGCCAGTGCTGCTTCTCTCTTCTCGACGGCATCCAAGCCCACCGTGTCCCCGTTCCCGTCCCTCTTCAGCCCCACACCCATGTCCTCACATACACAGCCAACAACAGCAGCAGCAACGGCAGCGGCAGCAACAGGAGGGGCAGCATCAGCAGCCTCTACTCTCTCCGCTCCGTCCCTCTCAGCTGCCCCCAAGCCACCCTCCTCCTCTCCCTTTGGCTTTGCTTCCTCCTCACAATCCACCTCCTCGTTCTCCTCTCCCTTCTCCTCCCCCTCCTCCCCGTCGCCCTTCACTGCACCAGCCACCAAGCCATCCCCCTTCACCACCAGTGCAACCGCCTCCCCGTTCTCTTCCACTCCCTTCTCCACCTCCCCTTTCTCGTCCTCTCCCTCACCATTCTCCTCCACCTCCCCATTTTCTTCTGCCTCGCCGTTCTCCCAGGCCACCAACCCCTTCCAGCTCCCCAAACAGGCCCCCAAGCCACCCACTGCCACACCCCCTGCCACTGCTTCTACTGCTGCTGCCGCCACCAGTGCTGCCAGCACAGGCACAGCCGCAGCAGCATCAGAAACCGCTGCCTCTGCTGCGGCCGCTGCTGCTAAGCCGAGTGCAAATGCCACAACTGCAGCCCCCTCAGCAGCATCTTCTGCTGCTGCAGCACCCTCCCCCACCCCGTCCTCTCCCCTGTCTGGCTTCTCCTCTGCTCTCCCTTCCTTCTCCTCCCCGTTCTCCTCCGCCCCTGCACCTGCCTCCCGCCCTCCGCTCTTCTCCACCACCACGCCACTCTTCTCCTCCAAGCCGCTCACCCCTCCTTCCACTACTGCTCCTGTCGCTGTCACCCCCACTTCTGCTTCTGCTGCTACTCCATCCACCACCTTGTCATCCACTTCATCCCCAGCAGCCACCACACCACCAGCGGCAGTCACAGCTTCTGCTGCTGCCCCAGCCGCTGCCTTCCCATCCTTCACCTCTCCCTTCGCCTCCCAGTCATCTCCCTTTGCCCCCACCTCCCCCGCCCCTGCCTTGCCCACCGCCCCTCTCTCCACTCCCCCTGTCGCCTCCTCCCCCTTCCAGCCGCCCAGGTCCCCTTCCCCTCAGCCTGCGCCCATGGCAGCAGGGGGAGAAGGGGGGGACGATGAGGGGATGGAGGAGGAGCAAGGAGCGGCCACGGCGCCACCCACCGCTGCTGCAGGCGCCTTTGCCTCGCTGGGCTTTGGCTCCTCTGCTCCCCGCCCTTCCACCACCCCCGCCAACCCCTTTGGAGGCTCTCCCTTCGGCGCCCCTGCCTTCGCCTCCCCCACCTCTGCCTCTGCCTTCTCGCCGGCCTCCCAGCCTGCCTTTGGCGCCAGCAGCACCTCTCCGAATCTCTTTGCACCGGCCTCCTTCGCCCTCCCTGCCGCTTCATCCTCCTCTCCTGCCTCCTCCTCCCCATTCGGTGCTCCCTCTTCTCTCAGCACCCCCTCTCCAGCCGCCCCTCGCCCCTTTGGCTCAACTGCTGGTCCATTTGCCTTCCCTGCCTCCCCCTCCTCCCCCTTCGGAGCTGCTGCTGCCCCTGCTGCTGCCCAGACCTCGCCCAGCTCAGGGTCAGGCTTCGCTCTGGGCGCGTTCGGGCAGACACGAAACATATCAGGTGCCCCTGCTTTTGGGGCTGCTGCCCAGTTATCTGCGGCAGCACCAGCTGTGTCTCCATTCGCTGGGTTGACGACAGGTGGCGGCTTTGCTGGTGCCGCCCAGGGAGGTGCGTGATGCCCTGCTTTTCAACCCAACACAGTTACATAACCCATGGGTGGCACTTGCTTGCCTCATTTCTCACAGATGCATTTCCTTGTGCTGTTGCCCTTTTCTTGCCCCCGTAATCTCATGACCCCACACCCCCTGACACGAGACCCCCCATGCCTGTGCCCATGCCACCATTTGCCGCCATCATCATGGGTGCAGGAGGAGGTTTTGGGGCGTTTGCCAACAAGCCTGCAGTGCTGGCCTCCCGCCCTTTCACGCCCGCCTCCCCTGCCTCTGCTGGCCCTCCTGGGCTCTTCGCCATGCGCAAGTGAATGCTGTCTTGTCGCATCCTGATAATTGGACAATTGTGTTGCGGTTCAAAAGCACTCCCAGGAATGTGGAACTTCATCTCAACATTGCAGTGTTTAGTGTGGTGTTTAGGCTTCACGCATGCTATTGTTTAGTGTGTTTGTAGAAGGACATTAGCAAAAGTTACAAGTGATTCAGTCTTCTAGATGTTTGATTTACTATATGGATGTCTTGCAACCAATACCGAATTGACAAGCTTTTGCGTGGGGGCAGTCTGGGGCTTTGTAAGTGGACAATACAGAGCTGTCCAGAGACGGAGTACCACGTGTGAAGGGCTTTTCCCGCGTATGTGATTCAGCGACTCAAGGGAGCAATCCCCGTGCCACCGACCGAAGGGTGGCTACACAGTTGGTCGAACAGTCCACATTCTCTGTCTCCGCACTTGCCTCGATTCGGCACTGTTTTGTGGTTCAGTGAACACGCTCCGGCTCTAGCGCAAACGGTTGCTGATAATTATCTGCCAGTGCCCTTGTCCAGCTGGCAGGCAGGCATTCAGCAAATCAACTCGTCTGACGTGTTAACGAGCTCGAGCGCGTGGCCAAACACCCAGTCCAGCGCAGCAGCGCTTTCGGCCTGTCTCAAACCCCTCTAGTCACGATCGCACCGTCCACCCCCTCGCATTCCCTCGCCTCTGGTTGGATCTTCGACCTGGCTACCGTCGCGACGGGTTGGCGGCTGGGAGAGGGAAATGCGTTTGCGAATGGGGAATGCGAATGGGACCACAGCTGTCGCACATGCCGCAACCCCGCCATCACCAACGTCCCTCTGCAGCACACCACCCCGCCTTCTCACTTGCTCATTTCTCGTCTCACCCTCGCAGCAAGCTGTCCGCAGCCCGCCCACCCGTGGCCTCTGTTGCCCACAGCTCTCACTTCTTTCTTGCTCCTCGCCGCTCCTCTTATGACGACGATTTCACAACCTCCTCCGCTCTTTCTCGTTGACACTTCTTCGCTCTCGTCATCTCGCGTCGCACCTCGTAATCTAGTTTCTTCTTTTACGCAATCCTTCAAACCTCTTACACAAACCGCGCGAATGGCTCCCGGGACCTTCCGTTCCGCAGCGGCGTCCGCCGTTCATTCCGGCGGAAGCTTCGGGGGAAACGACTCGCACGCGCAGCAGCACGCGGATCCCGGCGGAAGCCGCAATGCGCAGACGAGCGGGGGGGGAGTGGCGGAGAAGTACGGGCTGCTGGCGGCGGTGATTGCGGCGCGCGGCGGGTGCGCGGTGCTGGACGGCGGGCTGGCGACGGAGCTGGAGCTGCGCGGCGCGGACCTCAACGACCCGCTGTGGTCCGCCAAGTGCCTCATGGAAGAGGAAGCTTCTAGCCTCGTTCGCAAGGTGCGCTGCGGTTGGCAACGGGCAAATCTCTGTCGGTAGTCGAGAGGGGCGAGTGGCGATGCACCTTAGAGGCGACCACGGCTGTAGATGTCTTCTGCAGTGAGCGTGCCCGCATCGCCTCGAACGACAGGCGCGACGCGTCTCGCGTATCTGACATCGCAGCAGCGAGCGCCGGTTGCGTGTGTCGCCGCTAAAGACCTTCAGAGCAGCGAGTGATGGTTCCCCGTGCCGTCGGGCTCTCATCCGTATTAATCATTCGCCCATCCGCCCCCTATTTCCGCCGCCCGCAATCCCGTTTCGTCCATCGCCGCGCGCAGGTTCATCTGGACTACTACCGCGCGGGCGCCGACATTTCCATCTCCGCGTCGTACCAGGTACGGGTGTTGTAGCTCGATGAGTTGCCACATCAGGCAAGTACTGCTATATTTGACAAGTAACAACTCGCGGAAACACTGCCAATATGAGGCTGCCTAAACATCTGTCACTACTCCCCACGTGTCACTACTCACCACGTGTCAAAACAACAACACTTCCAGCATTCATGTTCCTCCATCGTCCACCCAGTTCTCGTATCCCGCCTCTTTTATTTCTGGATCTACCTCAACCCTCTCCGCGAGTTATGCGTAGATGCTTGGACAATACTAGTAGTTATTTACCTCGTTTGTAAAATGTCTCTTTCCGCCTCCCGTTCTCGTTTCTTCACCCACTCGTCCCCGCACCTCGGCGCTTCCCCAGGCAACCATAGAGGGCTTCACGGCGCGCGGGCTGTCGGAGGGGCAGGCGGAGGCTCTTCTAGCGCGCAGCGTGCAGCTGGTGGGGGAGGCGCGGGACCGCTTCTGGGCGCAGCACTGCGCGGAGGCGGAGCGGAGGGGGGAGCGGGTGGAGCGCACGGAGGGCGGCGTTGAGCGCGTGGCGGGGCGCGTGAAGCCGCTGGTGGCGGCGTCCGTCGGCAGCTACGGCGCGTTCCTCGCGGACGGCTCCGAGTACAGGTGTGTGGGGGATGGGGTGCGGCGGTGCGGGTGAGGGTGAGAGTGGAAGTGCGGGTGGATGATTGTGGGATTGCACGTGGGTGCGGGAACAGGCTTTCAATGCTCAAATCTCGGCCGCAGGCTTTAGAGGATCAGTTATTGAGCGAAGGCTTGGCCACAGGTGGAAATTGCAGAGACGTGCAGCAAAGTGGGTCGGGATTCGAACACACGCGCGTATGTGGAGCACGGGTGAGGGGTGAACGCGAAAGTGGGATGAGGTGGGAAGCAATGCTTTGGCCATCCGTGCTGCCTGCGTGCCTGGGGAACACATGCAAGTCGTGTCCTGCGACCCGCCCTCCCTTACCCCCCCTGCAGTGGCGACTACGGTGCGGACATGACAGTGGAGCGACTCATGGCCTTCCACCGCCGCCGACTGCAGGTGCGTGCCATGCCGTGCCATGCAATAACGTGCCGTGCCGTGCGATGCCCTGCGTTCATTCTGCCACACGCCATGTTCGAGCTGCATGTGACATTCTTGTGGCTCCTCATCTGCTTCTTAACTTTCACATGCCTCTGGTATTTCCTTGGACCTCTTCGCCTGCTCATGCTGCCCTTTTCGTGCCACCCCTTGCTGTGCCGCCCCTTGCTGTGCCGCCCCTTGCTGTGCCGCCCCTTGCTGTGCCGCCCCTTGCTGTGCCGCCCCTTGCTGTGCCGCCCCTTGCTGTGCCGCCCCTTGCTGTGCCGCCCCTTGCTGTGCCGCCCCTTGCTGTGCCGCCCCTTGCTGTGCCGCCCCTTGTTGTGCCGCCCCTTGTTGTGCCGCCCCTTGCTGTGCCGCCCCTTGCTGTGTCGCCCCTTGCTGTGTCGCCCCTTGCTGTGCCGCCCCTTGCTGTGCCGCCTGTGCCACGCGTGGTGTGTCCCGTCCGTGTATGCCTCTCCTGGTGGTGTGCCGTCCGTGCTGTGTGCGCCATGGCGGGGGGAGCAGGTGCTGGCAGCAGCGGGGCCGGACATAATCGCCATGGAGACCATTCCATGCCTAATCGAGGCTCAGGTACGCACCACGCGATGCTATCCCGTACCATGCCATGCGACATGCCATGCCACATGCCATGTCATGCAAGGTTGCCGCACCATGTCATGGCATGCCTTGCCCAGCAAGCCATGATTCGCCACTCCTACACCATGCTGATGCACACCTTCTCCTCAATAATGCATCTCATCTCCTTGGCACCGCCACCCTTTCAACTCTCCTCGCCGCCCTCTGCCCCTTCCTCCTACACCCTCTCCGATCCCTCCCCTCACAGGCCCTGGTGCAGCTGCTAGAGGAGCAGGCTGCCACGGGCACAGCAGCAGTGCCGGCGTGGATCAGCTTCAACAGCAAGGACGGCTGCACGGCGCCGTCAGGAGACCTCTTCTCTGCCTGCATCGCCACCGCCGCTGCCAGCCCGCACGTGGTGGCCGTGGGGATCAACTGCACACCGCCCCGCTTCATCCTGCCACTGCTGCATGCCGCTCGGAAGGTGAGGCGGGCAGGGGAAGGAGGCGGAAGAGTGAGTGAGGCGGGTTAGGAAGTGTTCGGTGCTGTTTCGAGTGGGCTGTGCCTCGCCCCGCTGCACTGCGTGGGAGGGCTCAGTTGTGTGCTCCCCATGCACTGCCCCCCAGGCTAGACTGCTATTTTCTCTGTGCGGCAGAGCGGGTCGTGCGATTGCAGCGGTACACTCTGGCAGCCTCAGCATTTATGTGTCCCACTCTGCACTCTTCTCCGCTTCCCTCTCCATTACCTCCTCGTCCAACCATCAACTCTCACCTCCCATCCCCTCTTTCTTGACCCCCCTCCTTCCGTCCCTGTGTGCCCGCATGGCAGGAGACATCGAAGCCACTGGTGGTGTACCCCAACAGTGGGGAGGCGTGGGACGGCATCAACAAGGAATGGGTGGTGCGTGTTTTGCCCTGATCCACTCTGCGCCTCTCCACTATTTTCTGCTCTGCTTTGCTCTGTTCTGCTGTGCTTTCCCCTTCTCTACTGCTGCATACTGCTTCATCACCCACCGATCCATTCGCCCCACTCTTCGCCCGTCCCGTGAGCCCTGTGATCAGTGAAAAATTTCCACACTCCGCTCACCCATTTCAAATGCTAGCACTTTATCGCCCCTGTTTCTTGCCACATGTCTCACTCCGTGCAGCCATGCAGTGGGCTGAGCGACGATGGCTTTGTGTCGTACGCCCCTGAGTGGGTGAGCGCTGGGGCGGCAGTGCTGGGCGGTTGCTGCCGCACCACACCACACACCATCTTCAGCATTGCCGAATGCATTCACTGCCGTGGAGAGAAAGGGGTGTGGGGGAAGAGAGTGGGGCCTATCGTAGTTCGCACAGACACAGAAGTAGACGCAGCTGTTGCGATATGACATGCTTTGCTCCAGCACATTTTTGCTCCGTATTCAGTCGGTGCCTTGTAAATACTCAATTGCATTTGTACCTCCAGGTTTATAATTTTCTTTTTAGACACATGATGGTTCTGTTTCACTAAGGGTTCTCACAGGATCTGTGGCCCTGTTATCCTGAAGAGATTTAACCCACCAAAAGACTGAACACGGTACTGAATCATATGCTTCTGGATTTCCAACCAAGTGTAGGATGGGCGTTACGCTGCTAGATTTTGACACACTGAATTTGGTCATCAGGGGCCACTGTCTTGAAACACTGAATCAGACCGTTTGGCGGCTCGAGCACCGTCAGAGCCGCAGATCTCGCCACACCAACCACGTGTTCCCCCAACACGGATGAATTCAGCAGCCAAAATGCATGGCTGCTTTGGTTCTCTTGGTGGCTCCTTCTTCGGTATGGGGAGCTTTTAGCTCGGCATGCTATTGGTTCGGTGGCTGACGAACTCATATCTCCGCGCTTCGGGACCCGCACATTTAGGGACCAAGTGTGGGGAGGGGTCGACCCAATTGGTTTGGTGGCTGCCTGAACTCCAAGCCTGCCCGCACGTTCCCCGCACACCACCACTTTTCCCTCCCTCCCCCAAACCTTTGTTCAGGCCACCGCCATTTTTTGCGCTGCTGGCCTCGTTCTGTGATTTCGTTTGGCTCCTGGTCACCGCGTTTTCTCGGGCAGTGGTTTGTTTGGAGAGGGTGTGCAATCTGCGGTGCGGTGCGTGGTTTTCATGGTTTGGTTTGTTTGGTGTGCACAAGGGCAGCTTCTCCACACTGCCTAGAACCCCGGCACGCGCGATGTTTAGCCCGTGGACCCCGCACCTGTCCCGTCGAGGCAAACCAAAGCCAGCTTGTCAGCTCCGCTCTATGCGCGATGCTGCCCAGGCATAGCGGAATCCAGACCAAGCCTCTTCCCCCCTTTACGTATGATCTCGTTTCGGACGGAGAACCCCAACGCGCGCGTTCCCTCCGCTCTAACAGCAGCTTGTCAGCACTGGTCCTCACTCCTGGGCGTCCTCGTGTATCATTCTCGCCACAAGTTGTTGATAGATAAGGCAGCCGTAAGATAAGCGTTCCTCATTCCAGATTCTAGTAGTGATTGCTGCATTTTTTGCTCCGTAGTAGTGTGTTCCAGCCTTAGTTTTCTAACCTAGCTACGCCACATACGACTTTACGAACGTGTTGACTCTTTCGTCCTACTACTAGAGGTACACCGCACAGAAGCGCCGCCATGGGTGTGTCGATCGAGGCGGTGAATGACGAGCAGGGGTCGTCGCGCGAGCAGGGGTCGTCGCGCGAGCACCAGGTGATGGTGCCGCACGCGTCCATCAAGGACGAGTTGAAGGAGACGTTCGCGCCGGTGAAGCAGCTCATGGTCATCGACAACGACCCCTTCAAGGGGTACCGCGGCAAGACGGCGGCGCAGCGCGCGAAGATGGCGCTGTTCTACGTTTTCCCCATCCTCGAGTGGGTCTCTAATTACAAGATCGCCGACCTCTTCGGCGACGTCGTCGCGGGGCTCACCATCGCCAGTCTCGCCGTCCCCCAGGTCAGCATTCCCACCCTTGAGCCGACTCTTCCGCTCGTCGTTTCTGCTACCTGAACGTCCCCTCCTGCTCAATGCGGATGCGCTTCTCCCCCGCGCTGCGTTCCGTTCTACATCGCCTCAATGTCTTGCGTCTCTCCTCCCCTGTCGTCGTCTCTCGCCGTGCAGGATCTCGGGTACGCGAAGCTCGCCAAGCTGCCGCCCATCAACGGTCTTTGTAAGCACCGACCCTTTCGCCCAGCCCTCCGCGCCGTTCTTAGTTTCCTTCGTTCCGCCTCCCATCGCTCGACTGCGTCGCATTGAAACCTCCTCGCGTCAGCTGATGTCGTCTCTGTCGTCGCCATGATCCCTCCTTCGCAAGCCCCCCCCTTCCCCCACTCCTTCGACACATTCTTTCCGCCTCCCCGCTTCTCCTTCCCCTCCACGTCCCCTCCGCGACTCCCCCCCTCCGCCTCCCTTCTCCCTCCTTCAGACAGCAGCTTCGTGCCGCCGCTGATCTACGCAGTGCTGGGCACGTCGCGGCACATCGCGATAGGGCCGGTGGCGGTGGTGTCGCTCCTACTGGGCGACCTGCTCTCCAAGTACTACGACGCGGACGCGCAGCCCGCGCAGTACCTCAACCTCGCCATCACCGCGACGTTCTTCGCGGGGATCTACCAGCTCGCGATGGGCATCTTCCGCCTGGGCTTCGTCATCGACTTCATGAGCCACGCCGTCATCGTGGGGTTCATGGCGGGCGCCGCCATCACGATCGCGCTGCAGCAGCTGCGCGGGCTGCTGGGGTACACGTCGTTCACGCAGGAGACGGACATCGTGGCGGTGCTCGAATACGTCTTCAAGAACACCAACCAGTTCAACTGGCGCGCGTTCCTCATCGGCATCACCATGCTCGCCTTCCTCCTCGTGCTGCGCGTGCTCGCGCAGCACCTCAAGGGCCGGAAGGTGGTGGGAAAGGTGTTTTTCTACCTCAACTGCGTGGGGCCCATGACGACCGTCATCGTGTCGACGCTCGCCGTGTGGCTGACGAACGCGCCCGTGCCCAAGGTGGGCAAGATGCAGAAGGGGCTGGCGGGGCTGGGGTCGCTGGGCAACCTGCAGCTGACGGGGCAGGACGCGGCGGACGGCGCCGTCGTGGGGCTCGTGTCGGGGCTCGTCGCGCTCACGGAAGCGTCGGCGATCGCGCGGACGTTCGCCGCGTTACAGGGTTACCACGTGGACGGGAACAAGGAGATGATCGCGCTGGGCGCGATGAACGTGGCGGGGTCGTTCACGTCGAGCTACGTCACCACGGGGTCGTTTTCGCGATCCGCCGTCAACTACAACGCGGGCGGCGCCACCATGCTCACCAACATCGTGATGTCGCTCGTGGTGTTGGTCACGCTGCTGTGGGTGACGCCCGCGTTCCAGTACCTGCCGAACGCGACTCTCGCGGCGATCATCATCAACGCGGTGCTGGGGCTGCTGGACTACGAGGCCATCTGGAAGATCTGGAAGGCCGACAAGGTCGACTTCATCGTGGCGCTCGGCACGTTCCTGGGCATTCTGTTTGACTCGGTGGAGACGGGGCTGCTGGTGGGCGTGTGCCTGTCGATGCTCAAGATCCTCGTGCAGATCACGCGCCCGCACCTCGCCACGCTGGGGCTGGTGCCGGGCACGGGCGTGTATCGCAACATTCAGCAGTACCTGCAGGCGGAGGTGACGGAGGGCGTGTATGTGCTGCGCGTGGATGGGCCGCTCTACTTCCCCAACGCCAACTACGTGCGCGAGAAGGTGCTCTCGCTCGCCGACGCGTACAGAGACGACCATAACGGCGACAGTATCACGGTATGTTCTCGCCCCGCACTGATGCCCGCACCCCACCCTTGGGAATTCCCCCGCCCGCCTGTTCACCCCTCTGTTGTGCCAACAGTGAGGTGCGCCCCTCTGTTGCCATACTAGCTCAGTGCTCACAATTCCCTCATGTGGTCTCTCAAGAACTCAGCACTCGCATTCTCTGAGCACTCTTCCAACGCAGCCCTTCTCACCTCTTCCTGCCCTTGCTCCTTGCCCCCTGCCTCCAATCTCTGTGCGTGGATCCTTCTCCCCCCTGTGCAGCATTTCGTGTTGGACTTCACGCCCGTGGCCGACATAGACACGACGGGCACGCACGCGCTGCAGGAGCTGCATGGGCTGCTGTCCAAGCAGGGCGTGCAGCTGGGCATCAGCAACCCCTCGCGCATGGTGCTGCGCAAACTTGTTGCATCCGGGTTTCTAGAGGTGCTGGGGGAGGAGTGGCTGTTCCTCTCGGCGCATGAAGCCGTCAAGTCGTGCAGAACATTTAGACTATCTATTAAGGACGTTTGAACAGGATTGCAAGCTGAATGGTAGATACAACTGCAGCTGATTGCAAGCTGCACGGTAGACATATAATTGCCAGCTGCAGTCGGCTAGGTTGTAAAGTATATGAGCTAAACAAGGTTCTGAAAGTGAGGAGTGTAAGATATATGGAGTTGCACAGTTGCAGCACGTAAACATTTTGCTGCCATGTCACTACATGAGGCGGCATTCGGAGGCAGGCATTCCATGGTCTACTTTATTGAAAAGGCAAAGCAGATATTTGTATTGGTACCGTCATACCCCGGATATACCCCCATGGGGGGCACTAATAAAACGTGTTTTTTTTAGGGGGTGGGCTCATAATATAGTAATTCTATAAGTGCCGGGGCTTATACAATGACATATATGAAATCTAGTTGTTTTCACTTCAAAATGTTCATCTTGTCATTGCGATTTCAATCAAGTCAAGATCATAGTGGGTGTGAAGAAGAATCTCGCGTAAGTTTGCAAACTGCCAACACACACAGTCAGAATGAGTCATTTCGCCCTATGACAGCTCATTCTGACTGGACGCGCAGTCAGTTGAGGCGCGCGAGGGTGGGGCAGTGAGTCGCGCGCAGGGCCTCAGAAGTCAGCGAAAAAAGGCTGATTTAGGTAAAAAGGGCTGAGATTTCAGACTTCGTTTAGAGCCAGGGCTGATTTTTCAGCAATTTTTTGGAAAACAACAGGAAAAACTATGAATTTTATAGTGTAAAATGGCATAAAATGGCTAATTTATATAATTTTCAGCATACTTTTTTGTACCAACTCTGATTGTTCAGCCCAGCCCAAAACCAATCTGAGGCCCTGGTCGCGCGAGGGTTAAGGGTCGAAATTTTATCAAGTGAGGATGCAAATAGTGTGTTTCGCTACAGAGATTCCAGTAACTTTATAAAAACTAATACAAATGGTGGCTCTTATAATACGTAAGCCTTCAGGGGGTGCGCTTATAATCGAGCACCGGATATAAGCGCCACGCGCCAATTAAAAGCGCGAGGCGCTTATCCGCGAGTGGCGCTTATACCCGGGGTATGACGGTATGATGCGATCAGACTACACAAGCAAACACATGCAGGAATTGTAAGCAATGCAAGTGAAAGGCCACCAGTCAAACCGAAATTCGAAGGCATGTACGGTATGGAACATGTTCGAGCAAGTGTTGGAAACAATTAATTTAAGCGCCCCTGTACCGTATGGCCCCGGATATAAGCGCAGGCCTATTATTAGCGCATGCGCTTGTATCTGGAGCAATGCGCTTATGGCCGATCCTCATTTATAAGCGCACCCCCTGTAAAACCTTGATTTATTATAAGCGCATGTATTAAACCAGATTAAAACGGTAGCGATTTCAAATTTTGCAGTGAGGATACAACCATTTTCGCTTCGATTGACTTTCGAGGACCTCACATACTTGTCAAATTATAATATTGTGTAGGCTATAGTGGGGTAGCCCATATGGGGTACACATTTCTAGGGTTGCATATTTGTATCACTTCCATTCCATAGTCATTCCATTCTCGTTCTACTTTTCTCATGGTATCAGAGCAGGTTCCCCCGTGGGAACTGTGCATAGGGCCCACCGCCCTTCCACTATAGTTTTTTTTTGGGCCCCGCCGCCCTTCACCGCCTCCTCCGCCCGGACCGCCCGAGCTGCCCGACCCGCCCGAGCCGCCCGTGCCGCCCAAGCCGCCCGAGCCGCCCGAGCCACCCGTGACGCCCGAGCCGCCCGAGCCGCCTGAGGAGCCGAGCCGCCCGAGCCGCCCGAGCCACCCGAGGAGCCGAGCCGCTGGTACCGCGGAGCCGCTGTTACTGCTGAGCGGACCGAGCAGCCGTGTTGCTGTGTTACTGTGCTGCTGAGCTGCCCGACCCGGCCTGTCTGGTGAGAGCAGCACTTCTGTCACTGCACTGACCCTGTCCTACAGTTAGTACTGCTAGCCTACTGTGGTCATGGCTACCCCTAGCGTCCTAGCGTTTGACGCAGAGGGTCGCGCCATTGACTTTGAGGTCTGGGTCGACGACCTGCAGCTGTTCTTACAGTGCGATAGGGCAGACGGTCTTTCTCTCTTTGACCTCACCTCTGGCGCCGTCCCTTCCCCTACTGCTGATGCTGACCCCACTATTCGCTCCCAGTGGGCCACGCGCGATGCTGCTGAACGTCTTGCTGTGCGTCGCCACCTGCCTACCGCTGAGCGCGTGCACTTTAGTCAGTACAAGAGTGCACAGACCTTGTACGACGCTGTCGTTGCGCGCTACTCTTCCCCTACCACTGCTGCACTGAGCCGCCTCATGCTACCCTTCCTCTTCCCTGGCCTCGCTGCCTTTCCCACAGTCGCTGACCTCATCACGCACCTTCGCACTAGTGACACCCGCTACCGCGCCGCGCTTCCTGCTGAGTTCTGCGCCAAGAACCCCCCCCCCCATGTACATCACTCTCTACTTTATAGTCACCCGCCTCCCTGACTCCCTTCGTGTAGTCAGGGACCACTTCCTCTCGGTCTGTCCCACCACTCTCACTGTCGACCTCATAGAGAAGGCCCTCCTAGCAGCAGAGAAGAGCATCGTCGCTGTAGGAGCCTCTCGTGGTGACACTCGCACCCCCATCTTTGAGGGGTGTTCTCCTTCCCCTCTCTTGCCCTCTGTCGCCTCTGCCGCTGCGGCCGACCTCGTTGGTCTTGAGTCGGTCGGTGCGGCGTCTGCCCCTAGCGGGAGACGCCGCTCTGGCAAGGGCAAGGGGGGCAAGGGCGCGGGTGGAGCTAGCAGGGGCGGTGGAGGTGGAGGTGGAGGCGGCGGAGGGAGTGGGGGTGGTGGTGGGGGTGGTGGCGGGGGTGGAGGTGTTGGTGGCAGCAGTGGAGGCGGAGGCGGCGGAGGCGACGGCGGTACTGGCGGAGGCGGCGGTGGTGGCGGAGGTGGAGGAGGCGGAGGTGGAGGTGGTGGAGGTGGTCGGAGTGGCGCTTCGCAGCGGAGCAGCACTGGTGGTGATCAGCGCCAGCAGCAGCAGCAGCAGCAGCAGCGTTCTCGCGACATCCCCCCCCCTCAGCAACTCCGTGAGTGGTACATGCAGCGTCAGCGTGGTGGGGGTTTTGGTCCCTGCACCTACGTCCTTCGCACCGGCGACCGCGCGGGTGAGCAGTGTGGGGGTGCCCACCCCACCCAGCGCTGCTTTGGCCGCCTGACGGACGCTTGGCGTCAGCAGTTCCCGGAGGCCACTGAGATCCCCTGCTGGGGAGAGCTGTCTAGGGCAGGCGTAGCTATCTATGATCTTGACTTTGATGCTATCCTTGCTGCCATGTATGCTGTGACTATTAGTGATGAGGGTGACTGTTACCGGTGTTTCCCGCCCGACCCGGGCATTGGTACTGCTGCTCTAGGTTCTGGTGAGACTGCTGCTCTAGGTGCCAGTGCGTCTGCGCTCTCAGGTACTGGTGAGTCTGCGCTCTCAGGTACTACGTCGGCTTTGGCCTCCCTCACCTTCACCCTTCACTCTGGGGCGTCTCGCTCCTTCTTTCGGGACCGCACCACACTCACGCCGCTTAGTCGGCCGGTTGCGGTGTCCCTGGCTGGCCCCTCTGGGGGTCCTGTCCTGTCTCGCTTCTCCACAGTCCTCCCGTGTCCGGCGGCTCCCTCTGGCACCCTGTCTGGTCTCTACCTCCCCTCATTCTCTACGAACCTGGTGAGTGGTGCTGACCTACAGGATGCGGGTGTCGACCAGTTCACTCCTGCTCGTCAGCGGGTGACGCACTGCACCGAGGCTAGCACAGGCCGACCCCTGGCTACGTTTACCCGTCAGCCAGGGTCGAGCCTGTACACACTGACCACTGCGTCTCCTCCCGTTGATGAGTCTGGTAGGGTAGCTGCGTCGGGTCAGGTGTTTGCTGCAGCGTCCAGGTCTGGTCCTGAGTCTGCCCCTTGTTCGTGTCGTCTCCTGTCTCACGAGACTCTCCTCTGGCACCACCGCCTTGGTCACCCCTCTCTGCTTCGGCTCACAGGCATGGCCTCCCGTCTTCTTGTGTCTGGTCTCCCCCGGTCCCTCCCTCCCCTTCCTGAGGGCCCTGGCCTTGCCTGTGTCCCCTATGTCGAGGGGCGCCAGCGTGCTGCCCCTCAGTCCTCCCAGTTTCCTCCGACAGAGGCCCCGTTGCCGACGCTTCACATGGACGTGTGGGGCCCAGCCCGCGTCCGTGGACAGGGTCACGAGCGCTACTTCCTGCTCGTTGTTGACGACTACTCGAGGTACACCACAGTCTTCCCCTTGCGCAGCAAGGGTGATGTCACTGAGGTGCTGATCGATTGGATCCGCGCAGCTCGTCCCCAGCTCAGGCAGAGCTTTGGCTCGGACTTTCCTGTTTTGCGTCTGCACTCGGATAGAGGCGGAGAGTTCTCCTCTAGCCTTCTGCGAGCCTACTGTCGTGCACGAGGCATCCGTCAGACCTTCACGCTTCCGGACTCTCAGCAGCAAAATGGGATTGCTGAGCGCCACATTGGCATGGTCATGGACGTCGCTCGTACGTCTATGATGCATGCGGCTGCCCCCCATTTTCTGTGGCCGTTTGCGGTCAGGTACGCGGCGCATCAGATCAACCTTCACCCCAGGGTCTCCAGGCTGGAGACCTCCCCAGCCCTGCTGTGGACGGGGAAGGTTGGCGATGCGTCGGCGTTCCGGGTCAAGGGATCTCGGGCGTTTGTCCGCGACTTGCCTGCGGACAAGCTGTCCCCTCGCGCTGCTCCTTGCGTCTTCCTGGGGTTCCCCCCTTACGCGCCTGGGTGGCAGTTCTACCACCCCACCTCTCGCCGTGTTCTGTCCTCCCAGGACGTCACGTTCGACGAGTCGGTCCCCTACTACCGCCTCTTCCCCTACCGCACTCCGTCCCTCCCCCCGCCCCCGCTCTTCCTTGTACCAGGTCCCCCCCCGGTAGACCCCCTCCCCCCTCAGGGTCCTGCCCCTTCAGGTGTGTCGCAGGTAGAACCAGTCGAGCCTGTCGAGGTCACTGGTG